TTAAAAGAGAATCTAAATAAACCAGTGCATTGTGCATTTTCACTAAACATTTTAAACTTGGTAAAATAACCAATGTTTCATTATTCCTCTTTCATACTGTCAGATTTTATTAATGTGCTGGTGAGGCAGTATGAAGGATTTTTAATCTGAAGCCCTGATATACATAATGTTTGATTTCTAGAAGTAGCTGCAACAGATTATAAGTTCTGTAGGAACAGAGACTGTTATCTTTTTGCATCCTTCATAAGTGGATGAAATAATATTAGACATAATTCCTGCTGCAGTGAGTATTTGGTCTTTATAAAATATCAAGTATCTTGGCTAATTTATACCTGTATTTGTAGACTTGCAGATACACTGTCTATCATACAATTGTAGTATTGGTTTAAGAAAAGTTGCTAGAGGTATATTCATCTGCCCATTTCCACCCCTCAATTGCATTACTTTACCCACTAATGCTTTCCTTCTTTCACTCAAGCTCAAATGATAAAGGTGATTAAAATAACATCTTTTTATAAAACTGTGAGTTAAATATGTTCTTATGGTTTAACTCTACCATATCTATTTTGCAGCTAAGCATCCATTGGCTTATATAATAAAACATATTTTATGTAATAACTTAGATTATATATTAATTTATTTTATAATAATAAAATGTTATTAGATAGTACTGTTAGAGGTAAATTACACTTCCCTTTGGAGATCTTAGAATATTTTTCTAAGAGCAACAAATTATGGGAAATTAGTGACATGTACACACTTCTATATTTAAAGTTAATAACCAATAAAGACCTAATATAAATAAATTTTAATGAAAAAATTATAAACAATAAAAAATAAATTATGGGGAATTAGGAAGGAAGGAGATCGAAGGCTGTGGAGGCCATGTATGTCACAGGTATAGAGTTCATCAACAAAAGAAAGTGAAAGGGTTACATCAGGGGTTAAAGAAGGCAGGGTTTAGTAGGCTCTTAAACTTCTGTGTGTGCACAAGTTACCTGGAAGTGTGCAGAAAACATGCATTCCCAGGCCCTATGCCTGAAACATCTGATGCAGTTAGTATGTAGTTAGTATGTAGTGGGGCCCTGGAATCTGCATTTATTAAAATTATTCTAGGTGATTCTGTTGCAGGTGATCTGAGGTCCCTACTATGGAAAAAACTGGTTGAGGGGGCTTGGAGAGAGGCAGGAAATGAAGACATTTGAATAGGAAGTGAAACACTGGGAACGGAATGTAAGCGTACTGGCATTTATCCAGGTGTATGTGGGGGGAGGTCGTTGATGACTGTGGCGGCCACCATGAGGCAAAATAAATTGTATTTGGAGTGACAGGTGGAGAGTTGAGATTTAGGGAGTACTGCAGAACTGAAGAAACTGGAGGAGATGACAGGAGAATAAAAATCTAGGAGTAAACTGAAAAGGAGCATGTGGGGGGATCGGGATGGGGAATACATGTAAATCCATGGCTGATTCATGTCAATGTATGACAAAAACCACTACAATATTGTAAAGTAATTAGCCTCCAACTAATAAAAATAAATGAAAAAAAAAAAAAAAGAGTCCAGCGGTCTCCCTTCTCTGATCTAAGCAGCCAAGTCATGTGCTGAGGTCATCACTCAGTAAAATCGGCCCTCATGAAGATCCCAGTGGTCACTCACGCAGAGGATATCATCGCTCTCCAGAGATAAGGCACAATTTGCTTCCATTAGGCCATTAACAACACCCAATCTCTCGCAAGTGACTGGTCGTAAAAGGATTGGAGCATGTTCTAGGGGACAGGAAACAGCCAAGCCATGAGGAAAACAGATGTCCTTGTTTGTTGCCCTAAATTTTGTATAAGTGTTTTTTTTGCTTGAGATGGAGAATAAGTGCATTTCAAAAGCATTCTGATAAGAATGCTCCTTTTTCTAGATTAGATCCTGAAACATCCATCAAAATTACTGCAGTTGATCTCAGTTGCCCCAGTTGTACATTCAGGAAGAGTTCCCAAGAAAAGAAAGGTTAGCTGGTGTGTGATAAACAGCAATTTCCCAGGGCTTTGATTGCCAGATAGAAACTGACTTAACTCCTCCCAATTAAATGAAGCCAAAGAGCATATTGTTGGCAGAATTCTTTTAAAGAATAGATTCTTCCTGTTTGAAAATCCCCCAGCAAGTTAATTCAGTCACTGCTGTTAAGAGTTACAAATCCAGTGAAGGGACAAAGAATAAGCTTAGACATGGCAGGTGTAAGCCAACATCCCTGGGCTGTCAGACATTCCAGACTTCAGTTCTCAGCTGCTAAGATATATCTTCAATTACCAAGCAGGTCTGAGGTTTGTTTTTTTTTTTTAAAGAATCCAATTTAATACATCTCCTCACAGTGGAAGTGACCTTTGGCTTCTAACTTCAAAGAAATCTTTGCAAGCTGCTTTGAAAAGAAATAATTGAAACAGCAGAAGATCAATAGATATCAAACAAACAATACAGGGCAGAGTTTAAGAACTGGTATAGCTATTATACAAAGAAAGCTACCAAATTTGGTGTGGGGGAGAGGGTGAAAATAAAGACAATAAACTTGAGGTCTCCCCAGTCAATGAGTTGACTGGTCCAGTTTTTCCAGTTCTGTATCTTTTCATTCCAATCATCCTAATCAATGAAGAAGGTGATTTCCTAGCACAAAGATATTTTATTTGTAAAGTAGTTGGGATACTACCACTTTCAGGGTATGTAATTTCCTGATTGGCAACATTACAGCTTGTTATGAGAAAAATGCCTGAAAGTGCAGGTTAGATTCTTGACTTCCACCTGTGTCTGATGAAAGAACTGATGTTTTTGTCAAAATAATGAAGTTTTGGCCTCTTGCTCTTATTGCCTTCCATAAATCCTTCATAAATGGACTCATTATCGCCCATCAGAGTCCAGACAAATTTGCCACAAAAAGCAAAGTTTGCTCTCGATAACTTCAATATCGTTTCTGTGTTCTTTTCACCTTTGAAAGCATGCACTCCAGAAAAATGGATTAAGGAGAAGTGGGTACAAATGGTGCCAGATCTGACTCAGAAATACAAGATGTTAGAGTTGGAAGGGAATTGAAATCAAACCTGGTGGCTCATGGTAAAGAATCTGCCGCCAATGCAGGAGATATGGGATCAATCCCTGGGTGAAGATCCCCTAGAGAAGGAAATGACAACCCACTCTTAATATTCTTGCCTGGGAAATCCCATGGACAGAGGACCCTAGCGGGCTACAGTCCCTGGGGTCTCGAAATAGTCAGACACAACTCAGCGACTAAACAACAAAGTTTAGGGTGGCTTTCAAGGGCTTGGTTGTCATCCGGAAAGAGTGAAGTTTGCCTGTGGCAGCATGATAAGGGTGTTGGGGTCTATGACAATAAGAAAACCTATGTTGGTCTAAAAGTATTAGAAATGATTTTATAAATTAGAAATTTATAAAATCTTTATAAATATTGTGAATTTTAAACATAATTTCTCACCAAAGTCAGCCCTTGATGGGCCCTTGATGCTAGACTTCCCCATATTTTTGCAGACGTGGAAAACTAAACAGCTTAGAAAATTAAAATTAATCATCTGGAGTCAGACAATTACCTGCTACTTAACTCCAGACTAGAAACAAAATATCCTTTCCCCAACCCTGGAAGTTATGTGCAAACCTGATTTAGAAGACAATAAGGCTGGAAAATAGTAGGAAATGAGTTTGGAAATGGAGACTGGGATAAGATTGTAGAAAACATTGCCTGATGAACTAGACTTTTCCATCTTTATTTGGTAAGCAATAAGAAACCTCTGAAAGGTTTTGAAAATATCAGTCCCAAGGTAAACACTGTTTTTAGGAGAGCTGAATAGCAATTTGTGTCATTTATGCTGAAGAAGAGAAGATTACAAAGCAGGAGATCTAAGAGAAAGTAGCTACAGTTCCGGTAGGAAGATGCGAGTGTCTGGACATTGAAAAGGAAAGGACATATTCTCAAGGGGAAAACTGGTAAGATTAGGTGGTTTATTGAATCAAGAGACAAAAGAGAAAGAAAGTCAAGAGTGACTTCATGATCCCTAAAGAGAAATTTATATGAAGATTAAAGTCACTATACTGGTGATTTTTCTCACTTGCTTGAGCTAGAAGTAATTGATGTAAGATTAAAAGTTAACTCTACATGTTGACTTTTCCCTACAGTTAATAGAGGTCATTCCTCCCTTTTAATTACTCTAGAAAGTCATCAGATTATCTCTGAACCTCAAAATATTTGTCATAGTAATGTGCTAAATTGCATTTAAAAAGAAATCCATATGTAAGAATTTAAGTTAAAGCTGACTTTTGATTCTCTGCAGAAACCTAGACCATAGGTAGCAGACTTGTGAACAATTTAAATTAAAATAAATTACAGCCCTATTTTTTTCTGATAACTGTATTTACTTTATTGTAAACTGAAAAAAAGTAAGTAAAACAGATGAAAAAGAAATAAAATTGCTGATTGTTTGCTATTTCCTCTCTTGTATAACTCATCTGGTGATGGGAGGGCCTAGAAAGTAAGCCCATCAGAGATGGCCACAAGGCTTCTGGCAGCAGGAAGAGAAACACAGGAACTGGGGGGTTTAAATATTTAATAATCATTTCTTGATTAATCTATTATTGGTATACCTGCGCATCTGATTTAGTGTTTTCACATTGGAGGTTTCACTGTATTTTGTTTGGAAGACATGAGAGTTATTCAGAAAATTTCAGGAAAAATAATTTTAAACAATTAGAAAGTGTTCATAGTGATCAAGTCCTGGCTCCTCTTCTGTCCCCAGCTCTCCCCAGCCTGATTAGGCAGGCAGAGTGTATTTAGTCACATACATCACATTTTGTTACTGCTCACACTATTGGGGCATAAGAGTTCAATCCTGTCTCCCTCAGTCCTGATATCAAGTGGAAATTTAAAACAACCAGTCAAGCATCCAGTGAGGGTGTTGGTCATGTCTTCCTGAACCTACTTCCAAGATCTCACCTTGTGATTTCCACTCAGGACCCTCTGCCGAAGAACCGCCCTTCAGACAGGAGGGATGTACTTTGCCTTCACAGAAAAGAGTCCTTGAAAAAAACAAATGGGAAACGTGGCTGCAAGAAAACTGGGAGGACTGCAAGGTGAGAGCTTAAAAAAAAAAAGAAAAAGTGTATTTCCTTCCTTGACTAAATTATGGCATTTTTTAAAAAGGTCAATTGCCAGAATAAACATCAAACCTTTAAGCACATCTCTAGAAATTTCTCTGAAAATAGTTGTGACTGGCATTCCATCTCTTTTTTCCACCCTTTCTCTTCATCAAGGCATGCTACTTATTTTCTAATCTTCATTTTATATTGATATTGCTGAACTTTAGAAAAAGTTTAAAAGAACAGAGAGTGAAATTGGCTTTTTGATAATAAAAAAGTCATGTTGAACGATAATGCTTATCAATGAGTATATGATGTAATCTGGACTCCTTTGAATGATGTGGTAAGAGCTAAAAGTTTTGATGATCTAGGGCAGCCACTGGGGTCTGAACAGAGCTATCCTGGAACAAATCAAACTTTCAGCAGTGAAGGATTTGAAATGTGGTTTCTTGATGCTGAAAATGACTCAGCTGGCTGAGCCACTAGCATTGAAACAGTTCTCATAGTTAGCTCTCAACCACTACCCACCTCTGGGGTTGCCATCACTCAAGCTTTCAAGTCATGAGTAAGCAGAGGACTGAAGACTTAACTGTGAAAAATAAGCATTGGTAGCAATAAAAGAATAAATGAATAAAAGAATGAAAAGAACAAATGAATAAATGAACTTCTTTATAACAGAGTAAGATGCCAATATTTTTGTTTTTCAAAGTGATCAAATTGCATGTGAGGATTTTAGGAAATCTTCCAGAAATGAGACTTATTGGGATCTCCCAATGCCTCTTCTGTTTCACAGATGAATCTTGTATGTCATAGAATTCTAGAATTAGGGGTTGGGAAGGAGCTTCAGATTGGGTCTGGTCCAAACACTTTTCTTTGAAAAAGGAAAGGAAAGTTTAGAAAGAGAAACAATTTGCCCAAGGTCACACAACTTATTAAGGGAAGCAAGGAAAGTAGAATATTATTTCCCAGTTCAGTGGGTTTTTTTTTTCTAAAATTAATTTAAATTAGTCACATATAATGGATACATTCCACTCTAAAAATTTATATAGTGCACCTACTTATTTATTTGAAAAATTTAAACAACACACCTAAAACTTTAACCTCCACTCCCAGGATTCTTTTTAAAAGTAATCATTCCAGTGTATACATGCATTTATTCTTTATAGCTGTCATTTAAACTGTGGATATATTGCAAAGGCCAGTGGTACCTTGCTAAAAATTTCTCATAGAAAGTTAAATTGGCCTTTAGTTAACTATACTGCAAGCGAATGGCTGAATGAACCCTAATCCATCACAGAAAAACTTATTGGGAAAAGCAGCCTATTTGAGAAGGTGATGTTTAATGTGGAAATGATAGATATAATCTCAATATTTCTTTAGTTTAGTTTAGAATGAAGACCTTTTATACTTTGGGAAAATAGAACTTATGGTATCAAATTTCATAATGTTTAATGTCTGAATATATCAAGACCTTTTTTAGATAGAGATATCTGTATTTCTTTAAAAATAGTAAATTATTTTGCTTCACATTAAAAAAAGGAATGTCATCTTACGCAATAATTTCTAGTCACAGAAATTGATGGCAAAATTTTGGAAATAAAAAAAGTAAAGTTGACTTTTAGAAATAGAGTTTACAAGAGCAATGCTACCACTAAGAGTGGTTTTAATCTCCTTGACATCAAAGTTGACTGATGTTAAAAGTAAAACTAAAATATCCACTATCTCAGAAATATGCCACATTATGTATATGTATATATCCCTGGTTATTTTAAAATAAAATCATGTTTTCCATCTTTTGAATGATGGCATCTTACTCTGAAATTTTTATAAATGAGATTTCTGAGTATTTCCAAGGAGGCTAAAGACCTAGGTTCGATCCCTGGGTTGGGACGATCCCCTGGAGAAGGGAATGGCTACCCACGTCAGTATTCCGGCCTGGAGAATTCCATGGGCTGTATAGTCCATGGGGTTGCAGAGTTGGACACAACTGAGTGACTTTCACTTTCAAAGATAACTAATCATATAAACCCAAACAATGCTTTACCCCCTCTACTTTTCATACCTAGAAAAATTTCAAAATTTAAGGGTCTTTCCATCTCTACCTGCCACCTCCCACCTGGTGTTTAATTCTAAACAATCCCATCAATATCTTCACCCTCCTCCCCTATCTTGAAAATCTCTGCAATAATTGTGAGTGTGTGGATGTGTGAATATTTTACAAGACCAAAAAACAAAACAGTAAAAACTGCTGACTTAAATATATAACAGTTCAAATTAATAACTATTTTTAAAAGTTGACAAAGCACTTGCTTTTTCTTTTTATTTGTTTTTCCCTTCAGAATTTGAACCTTTCATTTCAGGATTTGGGGGACCCTTATCAAGTTGAAAATTTTAACAGGATTCTTAGAAGACTAATTCGAGTTGAAACCCTCTGGTTAGTGGACAATTCACTGGTGGATTTAAGTGCCATAAGATTGCCAAGGTACCTGCTCCCTAGCATGTCCAGTTACTAAGTTAAAATCAAGTCTTTATTATATGGGTTCATGTGATCAATGTCTTTACCTATTGTGGCTCCCTTCATGTGGTCAGGCCTTGAAAGTGAGAGTGCTAAGCGATGTCTGAGCAAGGCAAAAAGGGAAATTATAAATCAAACTGTCACACTTTAGCAGGAAAAATCCATTCCTTTTCAAACTAATACTGCTATTACCAGCTCTTAGGGGAATAATTAATAATCATAGGACATATTGGCAGAAAAGCTTGCTAGGTTCCTTGTGTAGTGAACTGGAAATACAATCACATTATATACACATTATCATTGTAAGATAGTGATTTTTAGTCATGTTTATTGACCATAGGGAAAGACTCTATAGGTAGTTGATAAGCATCTTGACTTCAGGTTCACAAGCTTTTAAAAAAAATTTTTTTAACAGAGAACATTTATTTTCTTTTTTTTTTTTTCCATTTATTTTTATTAGTTGGAGGCTAATTACTTTACATCATTGCAGTGGTTTTTGTCATACATTGAAATGAATTAGCCATGGATTTACATGTATTCCCCATCCCAGTCCCCCCTCCCACCTCCCTCTCCACCCAGAGAACATTTATTTTCAATTTAATCTCTTATTTGACTTAAGATAAAATTCTCTACATTCTAATAGAGGAGTAGAAGTTGTCAATCAGAACAGTGACAGAAATAAAATTTTTTTTAATTGATGTGGACTCTTTGATGTCCCAAGGACACCAAAGGTAATGTTAAAGATAATCTGCCTCCTTGCTCAGGATTGCTTGAGAATTCTGTGGAGAGTTGACCTTTGCTTCACCAAGCAGGTGTGTAGCTAGAGCAAGCTGAGGTAGCCATCACAGGGGCAGACAGAAGTTCCCAGAAAAGAATCAGGAAATATCAAGCAGCCACAAGAAGAAAAAGTAAGTCCTCGAGCGGGTTAAGCTGCATCTCTAATGAAAAGAGCTCATCACAGTTACCAGGGGAGCGAAACGGCCCAGCAGACAGAGGAAGTGACAAAAAATGCAATGGTCCCTGACGATCTTCAGTCATTTTCAAAGTCCCTTCCCAGCGTTAGACAGACTTGTATAACATTTGATTTTACTTATGTTCTTTTCAAATGACAAATTTAAAAATACCAAAATAAAAATTTTCAGAGGACTCTTAATTATTACTACCATTTTAGTTTATTCAGTTTGTTCCTGTTCAGTCACTAAGTCATGTCCAACTCTGTGACCACATGAATTACATCATGCCACTGTCTTTCACTATCTCCCTGAGTTTGCTCAAACTCCTGTCCACTGGGACAGTGATACCATCCAACCATCTCATCCTCTGTCACCCCATTCTCCTCTTGCCCTCAGTCTTTCCCAGCATCAGTTACTTGATGTTAATTTGTTCAATTTTTTGCCCTAAACTCTCTTCTAGGGATAAAATAAGGATGTATTAGTTATATTTTCTAATATTCATTTCAATAAATGTACAAGAACAAATATTAACAGTCACATAACATACTTTAGAAACACTACACAAGAAGACCATTGGTTTGGTGTATGTGAATTTGACTTGATCCAAATCAGTAAGCCTCCAAATTTTTCCTATCTTAAATAAAAAAGAAGAGAGAAAAAGAGAAATTCTTATCATTAAAGAAAAGACTTGATGCAGTTTTAGTATCCTTTAGATGTATTCTTTTGGCCTTTCTTCAGAAATACAATGTATAATATAAAATTATATAATTGCAATTCAGACTCTACAACTGTCAAATCAATATGTCAAGAGAGCATAAAATTGATGCACATATATTCATAGCCTCCTTCTCTTCTGCCCCAGGAGAAAAATCACACCTGGTTTGTCAGTCATGTCGCCTAACATTATCTGACTGACTGAAGATCTGTGATATGATGAATATGAATATTTGGCCTTGGAGTACAGAATGAAGCAGGGCAAAGGCTAGTAGAGTTTTGACAAGAGAATGCACTGGTCATAGCAAACACCCTCTTCCAACAACACGAGAGGACTCTACACATGGACATCACCAGATGGTCAACACTGAAATCAGACTGATTATATTCTTTGCCGCCAAAGATGGAGAAGCTCTATACTGTCAGCAAAAACAAGACCAGGAGCTGACTATAGCTCAGATCATGAACTCCTTATTGCCAAATTCACTCTTAAACTGAAGAAAGTAGGGTAAACCACTCGACCATTCAGGTACGACCTAAATCAAATCTCTTACGATTGTACAGTGGAAGTGAGAAATAGATTCAAGGGATTAAATCTGATAGAGTGCCTGAAGAACTATGGATGGAAGTTCATGACATTGTACAAGAGGCAGGGATCAAGACCATCCCCAAGAAAAAGAAATGCAAAAAGGCAAAATGGTTGCCTGAGGAGGCCTTGCAAATAGCTGTGAAAGAAGAGAAGCAAAGAGCAAAGGAGAAAAGGAAAGATATTCCCATTTGAATGCAGAGTTCCAAAGAATAGCAAGGAGAGATAAGAAAGGCTTCCTCAGCAATCAATGCAAAGAAATAGAGGAAAACAACAGAATGGGAAAGACTAGAGATCTCTTCAAGAAAATTAGAGATACCAAGGGAAGAGTTCATGCAAAGATGGGCTCAATAAAGGACAGAAATGGTATGGACCTAACAGAAGATATTAAGAAGAGGTGGCAAGAATACACAGAAGAATTAATACAAAAAAGATCATGACCCAGATAATCATGATGGTGTGATCTCACCCAGAGCCAGACATCCTGGAATGTGAAGTCAAGTGGGCCTTAGGAGGCATTACTACGTACAAAACAAGTGGAGGTGATGGAATTTCAGTTGAGCTATTTCAAATCCTAAAAGATGATGCTGTGAAAGTGCTGCATCCAATATGCCAGCAAATCTGGAAAACTCAGCAGTGGCCACAGGACTGGAAGAGGTCAGTTTTCATTCCAATCCCAAAGAAAGGCACTGCCAAATAAAGTTCAAACTATGGCACAATTGCACTCATCTCACATGATAGTAAAGTAATGCTCAAAATTCTCCAAGTTAGGCTTCAAAAGGATATGAACTGTGAACTTCCAGATATTCAAACTGGATTTAGGAAAGGCAGTGGAACCAGAGATAAAATTGCTAACATCCATTGGAATATTGAAAAAGCAAGAGAGTTCCAGAAAAACATCTCTTTCTGCTTTATCGTTTATGCCAAAGCCTTTGACTGTGTGGATCACAACAAACTGAAAATTCTCCAAGAAATGGGACCACCTGACCTGCCTCTTGAGAAATCTGTATGCAGATCAGGAAGCAACAGTTAGAACTGGACATGGAACAACAGACTGGTTCCAAATTGGGAAAGGAGTACGTCAAGGCTGTATATTGTCACCCTGTTTATTCAACTCATATGCAGAGTACACCATGAGAAACGCTGGGCTGGATGAAGCACAAGCTGGAATCAGGATTGCTGGGAGAAATATCAATAACCTCAGATATGCAGATGACACCACACCTATGGCAGAAAGCGAAGAACTAAAGAACCTCTTGATGAAAGTGAAAGAGGAGAGTGAAAAAGTTAGCTTAAAACTCAACATCCTAAAGGAAATCAGTCTGAATATTCATTGGAAGGACTTACGCTGAAGCTGAAACTCAAATACTTTGGACACCTGACGTTAAGAACTACTGACTCACTGGAAGAAAAGACCCTAATGCTGGAAAAGGTTGAAGGTGGGAGGAGAAGGAGACAACAGAGGATGAGATGGTTGGAGGGCATCAGCTACTCAATGGACATTAGTTTGAGTAAACTCCGAGGTTGGTGATGGACAGGGAGGCCTGGCGTGCTGCAGTCCATGGGGTCACAAAGAGTCGGACACGACTGAGCAACTGAACTGAACTGAGAGGCTGAGAGAGTAGCAGGGTATACACTGAAAATGAGAGAAAATGACTAGCAGATAAGGAAAAAACATTTCAGATGAGGACAGAGAGAGAGGCAGAGAGACAGAATCTGTTTGAGATAGGTTTTCAGTTAGAAATTGCAGTAGGACTAAACTGCATCAAATGATTATGTGTGGGGCTTTCTGATGGCTCAGCAGGTAAAGAATCCACCTGCAAAAAGGAGACACAATAGACAGTGGTTTGATTCCTGGGTTGGGAAGGTCCCGCAGAAAAGGAAATGGCAATCTACTCCAGTATTCTCGCCTAGAAAATTCCATGGACGAAGGAGCCTGACAGGCTACAGTCCATGGGATGGCAAAGAGTCAGGTACAACTGAAGATACGGCACACAAAGATTACATGCAACCTAGCAAAGAGTGAAAACCTGAAGTTATCAAAGATATGGTTAAGACTGCAAAATATCCCTATGGAGAGCAGAAGGAAACAAGGGAAATGAAAATAAAGGATGTGAAAAATTACAATGAAATCTGCAGGAGGCGGGGGGAGTTCACACTGGATCTGTATTTTTCATGCTGCTGTGTGACTGTCATCTCTCTGTTTAGCACCATGTTTACTATTAGCAATAATCATTTACCAAGTGTCTTTGTGGGCTATGAGGTTTACAAATAAATACCCTGTGTTTCCTTCAGAGTATTAAATCCCAGGTTATGCAAATAGGAACTTTTCTGTAAGGCAAGGTGTCAGTGATAGATTTGGAATTATTTTCTTTAATGGCATGGTTTTATACAATTATGGTTTTAAGGCAAAAATATTAAGAAACCTTATATTCTGTCAGGAAAATGTATTCAACCTCAATGCCTAGCACATATTTCTGTTCCCAAGGATAATTTTTAGTTTTCTTTTGCATAAAAAAAAAGGCTTTAAAAAGTTTTTAATGCTATTTTCTCAATATCGAATTTAAGTACAGAAAAGTAGAAAGAAAGGAAAACAATTATAATCTCACTACTTAGGGGCAATATACTCTTCAGAAGTTTTCATGTGTCTTTGAGTGAACTTTTCATATTGCTGAGATTTCAGCAGCCCTTTACTCTTTCATCCAGGACTTATTGAGAAGTCACCAGAAACCAAATAGAGTGCCAGGTACCTAGTATATACATTGGAAAAGAAAACAGATTCTTGCCTTAGACAAGCTTTCGGTCTTATCCGCCCAGTTTATTTTCTCTTACTATTTTAATATACATATTTCTTTTTTCTTCCCAACCATATTTGTAGAAAACGTCACTTTCACACCTTTGAGGTGTCGTAGTCTAGGTGAGGCATGCTAGTGCTTTGCAATATTTGGTAGTTTACCATCCTCTTTAGGAGACAAATGACAAGATGTTTATATTTTATATACAGTTGCAGAGTTTTAAATATGAACAAAAACCATCTCACATCTTTCAAACAATTGCCAAAGATGCCTCAGATTCAGCATTTATCCTTGGCTGACAACCATATTGAGACTCTGAATGGGCTGTCCAGTTTACGGCACACGCCACTGGAATCCCTTATGCTCAAGAGGAACCCTTGTGAATTTCACCAAAACTACCGACAACGGTGAGGTCCCAAATGCTTTAAGTCCTCTTTTGTACTTCATTGAATATTTTACTTTTAACCATTGTTCCCATCTTGCTTAAATTTGCTCAGCAGGTATTTAGCTTATCTACTGTGTGTTGAACAATTCATGCTTCTAATCTCACCTAAAGAACTTTGAACTGATTTTGTGTGTGTGTGTGTTTAATTTTTAATATACTCTTCTGTCAGTTAATTTATGATGCTGGGCACATTTTAGGCTCCTCCTGTAATGGGACTATACATAAACAGATATTTCATTTTAGACTTTCAAATCCCATGCATTTTCTCTCATGATGTTCAACAGATGTCTTTTATAAAATTTCTAAATGTAGGTTCCCATCAAGGCCTAAGTGACCATCTTATAAATTGTTTATTCTCTGGTTTTGTTTTCCTATCTTTGGGCCACAAGGGCACCATTAATTAAATGAATACAAAAAAGTAATTGATTCGATCTACTCTAGTGGTTGAAAGAGCTGGAAACCTGCCAAGAATAAACCATTTTTATTTCTTTGTCTGTATTAGGAACACTCTTAATGATGATAATAATGGAATCTGAACAACCTTGAGCATGCACCAAGTAATATAGTAATAGTAGTAGTCACTCAGTTGTGTCCGACTCTTGCAACCACATGGACTGTAGCCCGCCAGGCTCCTCTGTCCATGGGATTCTCCAGGCAAGAATACTGGAGTGGGTTGCCGTTTCCTTCTCCAGGGGATCTTCCTGACCCAGGTATCGAACCCGAGTCTCGTGCATTGCAGGCAGATTCCTTTACTAACTGAGCTATGAGCTATGAGGGAAGCCCAAGTATGAGGGAACCAAGTAATATGCCCCCCTATTTATCTGCAGCTAATTTCCAGCACCACTAGTAGTATGTGTGTGTGCTCAGCTGCTACAGTTGTGCCTGAGTCTTTGCGACCCTATGGACTGTAGCCTGTCAGACTCCTTTGTCCATGGGATTCTTGAGGCAAGAAAACTGAAGTGGGTTGCCATGCCCTCCTCCAGGGGATCTTCCTGACCCAGAGACTGAAACCATGTCTCCTGCATTTCTTGCAATGCAAGCAGATTCTTTACCACTGAGCCACCTTGGAAGCCCACACTATTAGTATACTTACGGAAATTAAAATGGTAGAACAAGGAACTGAGTTCTAGACCTATATTTGCCCCCAGATGACCACAAGTCATCTCATCTCTCACTCTGAATCTGTCACACGAAGGGTTAGATCATATCTAGGCTCCATTCTGTTCTGTGATTATAGTCCTTCCTCCACATCTAATTTCTACAAAAGACAGTTCTCTTACCACTTTCCTTTCTCATACTGGCATTTTCCCATAATAGCAACTATATTCTAGAGGCCTGTATAACATCAGACTCTTCAGTCCATGATGTGCAATGAAAATTGTCAAAATAAAAATTTTAATCTCTGTTGTTACTACATAAATCTTATTACTGCAATTGTTTTCCCTCTGACTATAGTCTGAAAGCAAAATTTCATATTCTGTGACAATAAATTCTCAAATTGATACTAAATAAGCAAAATCTAGCAGCACAGTTGCTTTAATATTGAACTAATATTTAACCAAAATAATGTTTTGAAGTTTAAAATTAACTCTATTTCCTACAGTCAGAGGAGTTTTAGTTAGACATTTCAACATCATTCATAAAATAGCACATGTCTGTCTTAAACATAATTTATTAGTATTATATTTCAGTTTGGTTAATTAATATGTGGGATTTTAGAAAACACTTTGGTTCCAACTCAGTCACTTGCCTATTTTCAAAGAATGCCTTATAACAATAGTGTTAGATTAACTGTCTGAAATCTGACATGCCCTGAGGTCTCACTATAAATCTGTCTTCAAAATTCATAAGGTGGTATAGAATAATGTGGAAATGAAGGATATGAGGTTATTCTATTTTTTTAGTATTAATTCTTCTGGATTGAGTCCAAGGTGCATACATACTGACAATCAGACTACAAAAAGCCAGGTTGTATTGACCAAGGTAGTGAAGGGTTGCTTTAAACAGAAAGATGTGGTCATTTTAAAGTATGAAAAAAGGATTTAAGTATTCACTCCTACGGAAGCACTAAGCTGGAGTCTCAAGTTCATCCAAATTTAGGTTTAATTATCTAGCCAGAAATCCACATGAGGATTACAGCAGCATTCATTTTGTCACTGGGTACCTTTCTGTTGACGATTTAGGCCAGACTTTCAGTGACCCTTTACATCATGATCAGAATACTTAAGTATAAGCTTTTCTTGATCACTGACACCTAGAATTGTGACTGTCTTCCCTTCCTCCTTTGTTTCAGATCCTCCAATAAGAAGACAGCACAGTTCAAAAGAGAAAGGACTTAATGATAGAGCTAATGGTGTAAGTCCCAGGAGATAGAGGGCAGCCCACTTCTTGGGACACCCACAGGCAAATTCTTTTACCATTCTTCAGAAGCCAGGGTTATCTTAGGTCACCAATAGTTTGACTGTCAAAAAAGAAAGGGGTGGGGGGAGGACTAGGAGTTCCTGCCAAGTCTGAAAACTGGAGCCAGAAGGCAGATTTTAATCTTTACTCCATCACCTATAGGCTTTATGATCTTGGATAAGTTACTTAAAATAGGGGGTAAAAACTAACTTGACAGGAGTGTTGTGAGGATGAGATAATGTGCACAAAGCATTTAGAGCTAAGAAAAGCATGCAGCCAGTGGGAGCATTCCAGGAGGTTGGCACCATCATTAGTTGACATGGCTTGTCTCCTGAGAGGTTCAGCATCTTTCATCCTGGGCCAGTGCCACTGCCATCCATTTCCTCTGGCCTGAGCCACCAGAACTCCCCAATCAGGAAAGCTATCCACTCTAAAGAAAACGCTGCTTTATAAAGCTGCTAGGCATATGGCTACTGTTTAACTGGGTTGACATGAAAGACCACCTCCTGAAGCTGGAAGTGACTGTCTAAATTTGAAATGTGAGCTTCTCTGTCAAGAGAAAATAACTCAGCCCAAAATTATTTCCCACCCCCTCTTATAACTCTCAGCCAGAATTCTTCCTTAACTATCACTCGACAACTCGGACTTGCTTTACTTTAAAAAACAGCTTCCAATTTTATAATGTGTACATATCTCATGATCTCATTCTTTCTCTCATGGTTAGATAGCTAAATCTACTCATTGATTTTTTTTTTCTTTATAGGACATTGTAAAAACTGGAATGACGTTCTCTTATGAAAACAGAGTGTATGCAGTTTCACTCCTCTGCTCAATACTTAGAATCTGCTGAATGATCTAGTAGCTTCCAGAGAGGCAAGCTATGACAGGGTCATCAGCTCAATGAACACGAATTGCATTTTAACTTAATGTCATTGCTAAGATAAGGAAAACAGAATAAAGTGATAGCCACTCATCTTTATTTTAACAATAGGCAAAGTCCACTCATTTATATAGAGTAAGTGAAATACAATTCATTTGTTCTGTACAGTTACTTTTTTTTCTTTAATTTTTGCTTTAGAGTGTTCTCCTGTTTGCCAAACTTAGAAATGCTGGATGGGATCCTGAAGCTACCAGAAGATACTTCACCACCAGAAACCAATACGTTTTCAAAAATATGTATTGTATCCTAATGAAATCTGTATAGAAAGAAAGCCATCAACATTGTTTTTAAAAACAATGAATAAACAAGAAATGTATGACTAAATATTATGACTTATTATGTATATATATATACATATATTATATATTTATATATCTATTTCTTTCCTTTTATCCAGTCCTCTCCAGTTTTTTAAATTCTATGCCTTATCAGTAAATACGTTTTGAGCACATGAATTTTAAATAATTTTTAATAATTTTATTAATTTATTATTTATTATTTTAGAAATTGTATACATACAATAATAAAATAAATATATAACATATATTTAAAAACATGCAATTAAAGATTTTTAAATGATGGTGATAAAAATTTAACATAAATAAGGGCTCTAAGGTTTTCCCATGCTCCAGGGACTACTCATCTGGTCCACCCCTAAGACTATAAGCTCCTTACTTAGAATGTACTGCTTTAAATATCTGAATCTATCAAAAGGAAAAGGGACAATTAGAAGTACCTTGTACAATTTTAAACCACATGCACTGGATTCTTCATTTTAAATAGTCTGTCATTTATTAGCGATTTTCACACAGCAGAAATTTAGGGAGGTCCTAAGCCATATGCTATTCATGAAGTGCTTAGAAAATAAACAATAATGGTAAAGCTTCTTTTTGATCAAAGAATTTCATAAATATTATTTTAAGACTGCTTTCCCTACGTGCTAATAGGAAAGAACACAATTCACTTTCATTGCTTTCAAAATTTAGAGCAAGGTCAATACCCAGAACAACTTATGACTATATTTTTTTATTTATAAAGATCAATGGAGTTGCAGAATTAAGGTTTTCCTAAGATGGTTTACTGATTATCTAGAGATCCTAGCATGAAATAAATAACATGCTTTCTGAATCATTCTGCCAAGTAAATTCTGCTTGTAAAATTATATAACAAAGATTCTAACAAGACCAAGAAACAGGTCCTTCCCTCAAGGATCTTATGAATGATGGAAGATTGCACACAAAGAGGAACTTAAATTCAAAGAACTGTGTTATGAATAGCTATTATATGAGTAAGTAAAAGGAAGAGATTTCATTTTAAATTACAGGAAGCCATCTGAGATGGAGTCTACTATTAAAGAATAGTAGACCTTCCCAGGTAGTAGCAGGTTCTTCCAGTCAGATAACACAACATGAAGAGGGGTACAAAACCTAGAAATTGTATTTAAGTTAGGAATGGGCCTGGCTAGAAAAGTCAGAGAAGTATATTTCAGTGGTTTAAAAAAGAGTAAAATATTGATAAAAATAGCCGTAACTTTTGAATGTCTATTATGCATCAGACATAAGACAGATATTATACATTCATCTTTAAGTCCTCAAAAAACTGTGAGGTTGTGATTATTCTTATTTTATAGGCAGGAGTATCTGACGCTCAGAGGGGTTAAGTAATTTGCTTAAGATTGGTGATAAAGGTAGGTCACTACCACATGGCAAACCCAAGATTCAAACCCTGAACACCTTTCAACACTTTTGCTGCCTCTTCTAAAAATTTGGTTCTAATTTTAAAATTCAAGATGGTACTTTTATATTTCTAGGAACAGCTTCATCTTCCCAAATTCTAGCATCACAAATCCTAGTATTTAATCATAGTCAAGAATTCACTATTCCTTGAATGTATCCTAAACTTTTCTTGTTCAAGTTTTTCCGTTTCTGCAATACTTTTCCCTTGAAAACACCCCTGAGAACACCTTTCTCCTTTCAACACTCACTTTGAATAGTATTTCCTCCAAAAAATCTTCCCTCATCATTTCAATCAGATCTGTTTTCTCTGTAAAAAGTACTTTAAAAGAAATATTGGTCTTATGGCATGTTTTCTCATTGCTGCTTCAATTTGATTTAAAAAGAATTAGACTTTGCCTGCTTTCAAATAAACAGAGACTTTACTCATGAAGTAAATAAGAAAGTGGGACACATTTCATTTTAGGTGTTTACACATGTAAACTTCTGCCTCTCTAACTCAGTGTGAGAAAATGTTTTCAGTAAAGACCCAGAGAGTAAATATTGTAGGTTTTATTGGCCATATGATCTCTGTACTAACCACTCAACTCTGCCATTTTTAGTGCAAAAGCAACCATAGACCACATGTAAATGAGTGGATGTGACTGTGTCCCAATAAAACTTTTGTTTAAAAAAGTATACGATAGGTCATCATTTACTGACCTCTGCTCTAAATTTTAAGGTCATATGGTGGGTTTTTTTAAGATTTGTTTTTGTTTTTGTTTTTAATAACATGTTTCTGTTTTATGTTTTGGTTTTTGGCTGCTAGGCTTATGGGATCTTAACTCCCTGACCAGGAATTAAGCTCACACTCCCTGCATTGAAAGGTGAAAGGTGAAGTGGACCGCCAGGGAAGTCCCTCATGAGGTTTATTGCTTTACTCTTCATCAGTATTCACTGCCCTCCCCAGAAAAGTTGTATACTTCCCCCTACTCTTTGAAGTCAGATGTGTCAAGAAAAATTGATTTGACCAGTGAAATGCAAATGAGTCTGACGCAAGTCACTTATAGGCAGAAACTTTGAAAACAAGTTTGTGCTTTGTCACACTTTCTTTTCTTGCACTACATTAGCAGGCAAATTTCCAGATAATGGCTTCTCCATCAGTCTCGGTCCTTAGGTGAATATGATGTGAGGCAGAGCTACTGTCCACCTACAAATGATGTACAGCAAGAGAGGGTGGACCCATGTCATCAACCTATAAGATCCCATTTGATGATGCACCATAACCTAGCCTTTCCCAACTAACATACCTCCTCAAATTTCAGTTCAGTTCAGTCGCTCAGTTGTGTCCGACTTTTTGTGACCCCATGGACTGCAGCACTCCAGGCTTCCTTGTCCATCACCAACTCCCAGAGCTTGCTCAAACTCATGTCCATCGACTTGGTGATGCCATCCAATCATCTCATCCTCTGTCGTCCCCTTCTCCTCCCGCCTTCAATCTTTCCCAGTATCAGGGTCTTTTCCAATGAGTTTGTTTTTCCCATCAGATGGCCCAAATATTGGAGTTTCAGCTTCAGCATCAGTCCTTCCAAAGAATATTCAGGACTGATTTCCTTTAGGATGGACTGGTTGGACTCCTTGCAGTCCAAGGGACTCTCAAGAGTCTTCTCCAACACCACAGTTCAAAAGCATCAATTCTTCGGTGCTCACCTTTCTTTATAGTCCAATTCTCACATCCATACATGACCACTGGAAAAACCAAAGCTTTCACTAGACGGACTTTTGTTGTCAAAGTAATGTCTCTGCTTTTTAATATGCTGTCTAGGTCGGTCATAGCTTTTCTTCCAAAGAGCAACCATCTTTTAATTTGAGGGCTGCAGTCACCATCAGCAGTGATTTTGGAGCCCCCCAAAATAAAGTCTGTCACTGTTCCTATTGTTTCCCCATCTACTTGCCATGAATTGATGGGACTGGATGCCATGATCTTAGTTTTCTGAATGTTGAGTTTTAAACCAGCTTTTTCACTCTCCTCTTTCATTTTCATCAAGAGGCTCTTTAGTTCATCTTCACTTTCTGCCATAAGGGAGGTGTCATCTGTGTATCTAAGGCTATTGATATTTCTCCCGGCAATCTTGATTCCAGCTTGGACTTCATCAAGCCCGACATTTCACATGATGTATTCTGCATATAAGTTAAATAAGCAGGATGACAATATACAACCTTGATGTACTCCTTTCCCGATTTGGAACCAGTCTGTTGTTCCATGTCCAGTTTTAACTGTAGCTTCTTGACTTGCATACAGATTTCTCAGGAGGCAGGTCAGGTGGTCTGGTATTCCCATCTTTCAGAATTTTCCACAGTTTAGTGTGATCCACACAGTCAAAGTGTTTGGCATAATCAATAAAGCAGAAGTAGATGTTTTTCTGGAACTCTCTTTCCTTTTCAATGATCCAGCGGAGGTTGGCAATTTGATCTCTGGTTCCATTATCTTTTCTAAAACCAGCTTGAATGTCTGGAAGTTCACGGTTCACATACTGTTGAAGCCTGGCTTGGAGAATTTTGAGAATTACTTTGCTAGCATGTGAAATGAGTCTAACTGTGCGATAATTTGATCATTCTTTGGCATTGCCTTTCTTTGGCATTGGAATGAAAACTGATCTTTTCCAGTCCTGTGGCCACTGCTGAGTTTTCCAGATTTGCTGGCATACTGAGTGCAGCACTTTAACAGCATCATCTTTTAGGATTTGAAATAGCTTAACTGGAATTCCATCACCTTCTCAAATTTAGGGACTGAAACTTTACTTATTCAATGCAATAACGTGTTTAATATTTGGTATTGCCAACCAAAATAGCAGAGTTGACATGTAAAATGTTGAATAAAGGGATAAATGCCTACCATCAGAAACCATAAATGGGGTGGTATAACTACCAGGTAGGATACAATTATAATACTTTGGTTGAAATGTACTAAAAAAGATTTAATTAGGGCAATAGTGCTGGAAATAGATATAAGTTATGAAGACATGAAAAGCTGAGGAGTTATGACACCAGCAAATTGTTTTATTATTTAAATTACTTTGAATTAAGTTATTATCTGCAGGCAAAAACAGTCTAATTGCGAGGAAAATCATGGGTTTTATAAGAGGTGCTGGGTTCTAGATAGCTATGAAGAAAAATGGCTAAATGCAATGTAATTAGGGTCTCAAAATATGTGTTACACTCTTTCTAAGAGAAAGCTTGTATTGAATTGAAATCTGATTTTCTGATCTTAAGAGATACAGGTCCTATGGTTAGTGTGGCCAGAGCAGGTTGACTCATGTTGGTGATGCTTACCTACACCAGAAGGAACCAAATGGACCAAGGGCAATGGACTAAATAAAAGCTAAATCCCAAATTGAGGCTATCTATACATTGTGGTGGCAGCAGTTCTCATAGCTATCAGCAATGATATTATATGTCCAAGGGTGGTATTGCTATTATTTCAAATAAATCTATTCACTTGACCTGTCTAAATGCTTCCTTGTATATTCTATAATCC